CATATCATCAACATACAGCAGTAGGATGATATAGCTGGACTGATATCTTTTGAAGTAGCAACAGTGGTCGGCGTTGCACTTCTGGAAACCTTCCTTGTGCATAAAGCCGTCAAACTTTCTGTACCACTGCCTTGGGGCTTGTTTCAGGCCATACAAGCTCTTCTTGAGTCTGCACACCAGGTTCTTCTTCTTTTCTTCTGAGAAACCTTCTGGCTGGTGCATGTATATCTCCTCTTCTAGATCTCCGTGAAGAAACGCTCTTAATATCTACTTATGTCTCGGGATGTACCCAACAAGAACCGTTATGCACAATTCAATAAGAACTGTGGTTAGGTAAAAGTCTAAATACATCTTTACTGACATATAAGATATTGCACTCATGCCTCAGGTCAAGAGACTACTATGCACTATATCACTTGAGAATTTCTATTTGACAGTTAAGTATATTACCAACTAGATGTTCTCGGCGAATTGTTCAGTCAACTCATTCACTAATGAGTCACATGTATACTGTATCTTGATGTCTCACATCAATGATCTTAAGAGATTGATCATCTCCTTCAAAAGGAGAAATAAAGCATACACTAGTCTAAACCAAAGTGATGATGTCCTATCTCAACACTTCATCAACTAGGAACATTTTAGAATATACGTTACCGACTAATCAGATCTCTTCATTACGATCACTATCCGAAATGTCTGATAGTCTAGTATTTATTCTAAGGACATTATCTGTATATTTAGAACATCAGATAAATCTGACCAAAATAGCATACTATCATTTTGAACAAGGATGTTATATACATATAGGTCCTGTTACAATATACATCCTGGAAATCATGTAAGCAAACAATAATTGCCAGGAGCACCATGGAATCTGAGCTGATTGCTCTTGACACTACTTGCACAGAAGCCGAATGGTTAAAAGATCTTTTATCTGAACTTCCTTTGGTCCCAAAACCCTCTCCTCCTATTTCCATTCACTCTGATTCTAGATCTACCATAGAGCTTCTAAAGCAAGTACATGTAAATAAAAAACATAACAGACATATTCAAATAAGATATAAGTCTGTACAACGCCTATTAGGCAAAGTTGTGATCTTGGACTTTGTAAAGTCTGAGAAAAATCTTGCTGACCCTTTGACTAAGGGATTATCCAGGAGTGTGGTTCTGGATTCATCGAGGGAGATGGGGTTAAGCCCATAAATGAGGTCACTGACAGCGGCAACCCAACCCTTATTTGGAGACGTAGTCCCAATGTCGGTTCAATGTGGTAGAAACAAGCTGGACAAGTGACTCTCGTGTGGAGCATCGACCTAGATATATTTATATATCATTATGTAGCATTTGCTACTACCCCTTCTCTATGATGACGATGCTCTTATGATACAGCTGGCTAGGCTGAGTTTTACTCTTAATAAGTCCAACGCGTGTATTGTGGGGGGTATTAAATAAACAGCTGTAGTACCCTTTGAGGACTTACCTACGTGAGAGGAACCGTGATGGCCGCGGTTAGGGGGGGCTGGGCTAACCCCTAGAAACTCTCATGAGTCGGTTTATTGTGAGCATGGCCTTTAACGCTCAACCCGCTTTGCTCAATAGATGAAGCGTATTGTGTGTGTTTTCATCAATACCTGATTAAAGGGGCCTAATTCAAGGCCTAGTCCATTATGTCCCTCAGGTGGCGATGAACCCACTAAGGAAAGGTTCAAAGCCGAGAGCTACCTCTCCCGAATTCACGATACGAAAGGTTGCCCAACCTATATTTATTCTGTGATTTATTTATTGATTTATTATTTTCAGTCAATATTGCCTTTTGGGGGGGGACTGTTAGATATTTTGTTAAGAAAAGACAATTTTGCCTTCATGAATAATAATAAATTTTTGTAATTAAAACATGTTTTAATTAGCAATTAAAAATATGTGTAACGGCCATATAATTATGGGGAACGTTACAAAATTTATGACGAACGGCTTCTCAAGCCTTCATTTTTGCACGTTTTACACATTTTGTAACGGCTGCATGCGGGTAACGGAAGCATTAACCGTGCGTAACGGTTCCTTGGATTCAGCGGGGGTTACACCTTTCATCACCTATAAAAGGAGGCTTGGAGCTCATTCAGAATCACACCAACGAAGAGGAAAAACTCTACACTCTCTTCTCTTCTCTACTTTTATACCTCCAAGAAAAGATTTCGGCTACATATTTACATATTCTATTTTCTGGGCAACTGTTTTCGTCTGAGCATAAGCTCTGTGTCTCACGCCCGAGTGCAGAGGCCGGCCGATTCCGGGGGTTTTTACCGCTAGGGGAGAGAGGCCAAACTGCGCCAGGGCGATAGGCGGGTCCTTAATCTTCTAGGGCAGTGATATCACGACTGCTCCCAATCAGGCCTGAATTTTCTAACTCTTTAATTTGTTTTATATTATTATTGTTTTGACAGCAAGTATGCATCCAGCTCTTAACTAAATAAACAAATATTGCACCTTTTAGTATTTGCTTGGTTTACATGGAAATGGAAATAGCGTATACGCAAAATGAAAATTGAGATGGATGTATGTGAAAAAACGAGAGACGCACAGGACATATTCGTTACTATTTTAGTGAGCTGTTTGTGTATATAATTTAGGTACTAATAACATGGGAAGATACCAAAAGAAACCAATGATGGAGCCAATATGCAGAGGCCCCATTGCCCTTTGCCCACTATCAGACCTACATGCGAGAAATTATTTATGGATTGGTGTGTACATAATTAAAGGGCACAACCAACCGTTGGTGTTGGTGGGCCCTCTGACCTCTATTTTATGACGATGGTCATTGGAGTATTCTGCCGTGTAAATAATTTACTAAAAATGAAATTTCAGTGAAAATATATGTTTCAGGCTTTTTTTTTTTTGTAAAAAAAGCGTAAGTATATGAATATCTAAAATATAACCGGACAGGCACCACTGAAAGCATAGACGAAAGGTTTAATTTACAATTTATCTTGTCGTTAGAAGATCTTCCTAGTTGTTCATCCTCATCTTTTTTTTTGGGTAAATGAACTGAATTTTATTCATTTATCAAAATGTGGCATTGTGAAGAACATCAAAGAACCAGCAATAAACTGGTAAAACAAAAATAAATAAAATTATATTTTCTCTAGTATTGCTTTCATATGACTATATACACTATCATTAAGCACTTTTGTGTAAACTGAGATCCGTATATCTCTGAAGATCTGGGCCGGTTCTCTTGCTTTTGCTTGAAAAACTATTTGATTCCTCTCCCGCCAGATCATATAGGTTGAAATTGATAGAACCATTCTCTTCAACTTCTTCATCAACCCTTTCCCTTTCAACCTATAAGAATACCAATTAATGAGCTGATTCCAATTACAAGATTTCCACCTATAATTAAGCCAGTTCATCACCCTGTTCCAAATGTCAGTTGAGAACTGACATTCAAAGAATATATGATCCCTTGTCTTTTGTTGATGTCTGCAGCATAAAACACATTTGCTCTGATTAGAATTCATAATCCCCATTCGACACAGTCTATCCATGGTGAGAAGTTTTGAATTGCATGCTAACCACATAGTAAATGAGTGCTTTGGATAAAGGAAACTATCCCATATTGTATCATACCATCCAACCACTGGAGCTGTTTGTGTCACAATTTTATACACAGTTAAGAGTTTGATTTTACCAAATTGTTGAGCAACTTTTCATGCCTATCTTTATATTTTCAATGCTTCCAAACTTATTCAACAACACATCTCTTACTTTCAAAAGCTGTCTCCACATCCATGAATCATTCACTCTTGATTGTGCCTCCCATATGTTATGATTTTTTAAGTAATGGCCATGAAACAATTTGATCCATAAGAAGTCTTTTTTCAGATGTACCATCCACAGGAGCTTAGCAGCAGCTGCATAATTCCATGCTTAATTTTGCTGAAAAATTTCTCAGCCCCCCTTGTTTCTTCCCCTGTCATACAATATTCCAGGATACAAGGTGCATCTTGTTATCTCATCTTGTTCATCCTCATCTTGATAATGCATGGTTGGTTCTTTAAATTGGATTAGCATTCTAATCATTACCCAAAAAAAATAGTGAGGAAACCACTGTTTACTAATTACATCTCTCTCTCTTTCTCTGTGTGAGAGAAAATGGATGGGTCTTTTTATGGATCCCCCACAGGCCCCCCCCCCCCCAGCCTCTCTATTCCTCAAAAACGGTTAAAAACACAACCATAGCTTGTGTATACAACAAAATACATCACATATAAAGAGGATAGTAATGGAAATTGTCTCCTGAAAATTAATAATGACACTTTAAATCCTATTCATGCATGTTGAGGTCTAATCAAATATTTGCGATCATTTGACCATTAAAGCTCATAATCTCGTGTACAGAGCACATATTCCCTCCACATGCTTTAAACTAACTTCTAATCTTACATTAATCCAATAAATTACCCACAACAGCTCGTTCTTCGGTCAAGTCCCCCCCCCCCCCCTCACCCCGCCCCCCCCCCCCCCCCCCCTTCCCCCCTTTTCCCAGGCCAATTTTACTGACCAACTCAATCACCAAATTTTAAAATCTCTAAAATATTCTCTGTCTAAATGAGTCCTAACACATCCTCTCCATGTTTCGTGTCGGATTATGCCCTCAACACTCCAAAATTCCCCGGTCATGACACCCTGATCACTAGCTGTTGGGCCCCACCCGACCTCACCAAATCCTGATTCCGCATCCCTCCCACCCATCAAACCGAAAATGTCACAAAACTAGGAAAATAAACACGCGTTAGAGAGAAAGAGGAGGAGGAGCATCAAAATGCATCACGTTCTCTTCCTCTTTTCTCTCCTCACTTCCGTCTCAATCTCCAATGCTGCCGTCCCCGGCGAAGTTTCGGCCCTTCTGACGATCAAGTCCGGCCTAACCGACCCGTTGGGCTCGCTCGGAGGGAATCCTCCCGCGCCCCATCATTGCAGGGCAGTGAGTGCGGTAAATGCGACTCGACAGGGCTCGATCGTGGGCTCGACCTCTCGCGTCTTCAACATCAAGCGGCGAAATCTCTTCGAAGGATCGGTCGCTTGTCGAAACTCGCGACCCCGCCCCCGGATCGCTTCGCTGCAACTCCTTCGCTTCCTCGCTCCCGAAGTCGCTCCCTCGGCTTACGTCGCTGCGGTCGTTCGACGTGAGTGACAATAACTTCGTGGGCGAGTTTCCTTCGGGCATCGGGGCATTGCCATCGCTGACGAGGCTAAACGCGTCGGGCAACAACTTCGTCGGGCCTCTACCGCAGGACATTGGCGATGCGACGTCGCTCGAGGAGCTGGACTTCCGAGGAAGTTACTTCTCGGGTTCGATTCCGAAATCCTACAAGAACCTACAGAAACTCAAGTTCCTCGGGCTTTCAGGCAACAACTTAACTGGGGAATTGCCGGCTGAATTAGGCCAGCTTGCTGCCCTCGAGAGACTCATAATTGGCTACAATGAATTCGAAGGTCGAATTCCCGCGGAACTGGGGAACTTGACCAATCTCCAGTATCTCGATATGGCGATCGGGAACCTGGAGGGTCCGATTCCCGCGGAATTGGGGAAACTCCAGCTCCTGGAAACCGTTTATCTGTACAAGAACAATATCGGAGGCGAAATCCCAGAGGAAATCGGTAACATCTCTTCATTAGCGTTCCTAGATCTCTCTGACAACCAAATCTCAGGCAAAATTCCGTCGGAGTTATCCAATCTGAGCAAGCTGCAACTGCTGAATCTGATGTGCAATAGGCTCGAAGGTCTAGTTCCTGAAGGAATCGGCGAGCTGCAGCAGCTACAGGTTCTTGAACTGTGGAACAATTCGCTCGTTGGGCCTCTGCCTGCTCAGCTCGGTCGCAACTCTCCGTTGCAGTGGCTCGACGCGACGCTTCAAGCAATTCCCTCACTGGCGAGATCCCTGCTGATCTTTGCAACGGAGGAAATCTCACAAAGCTCATTCTCTTCAACAATGCGTTCACGGGTCCGATCCCTGATAGTTTAACAGAATGCACGTCTCTGGTTCGAGTCAGGATTCACAACAATAGGCTCAATGGCTCGGTACCCGTTGGACTCGGTGCACTACCGAAGCTACAGAGGCTAGAAATTGCCAGCAATGATCTCGACGGTGAGATCCCCGATGACATATCGCTGTCAGCTTCCCTCTCGTTCATCGACTTCTCAAACAATCATCTACGACTCGGTCTACCTTTGAATACCTTCGCCATACCGACACTTCAGACGTTCATGGCGTCCGATAACCAGCTATCAGGTGCAATGCCGCATCAGTTTCAAGATTTCCCAACTCTCTCGTCTATCGATCTGTCAAACAATCGCCTCTCTGGTCGAATACCAGACAGCCTTGCCTCCTGCGAAAGGCTAGTCAGCCTGACCCTTCGCGGCAATGGGTTCACCGGTGAGATCCCGTTATCAATCTCACTAATGCCAACACTAGCCATTCTTGATCTTTCATCCAACCAATTGACGGGTCACATACCCGTAGACTTCGGGAACTCTCCCGCCTTAGAAATGCTCAACCTCTCCAGCAACAATCTCTCCGGCCCAGTGCCCACCAATGGAATTCTCCGGACGATAAACCCGAACGAGCTTTCAGGCAATTTGGGTCTATGCGGAGCTCCGTTACCGCCGTGCGCTTCAAATATCTCATTCAAACAGCCCTCTAGCGTCAAGGTAAACCACATCAAACACATTATCACCGGATGGCTCGTCGGAGTCTCCGCCGTGCTCACAGTAGGAGCCTTTTCTGTCCTCGTCCACCGACTCTACCTCCGATGGCAATCACGGCTTGACGAAGAAACTGGTGCGTGGCCATGGCGGCTGACGGCATTCCAACGCTTCAACTTCACAAGCGCCGACATCCTCGCGTGCATCAAAGAATCCAACGTCGTCGGAATGGGGGCGACTGGAGTAGTTTACAAAGCCGAAATCCCCCGCCAGCACGCCACACTGGCGATCAAGAAGCTATGGCGATCCGAGCCGGGAGCATTATCCCTCGCCGGAGAGTTCATCGGCGAAGTCAGCTTATTAGGCAAACTTCGCCATCGGAATATAGTTCGGATGATGGGATACATGCACAACGACATGGATGCGATGATCGTTTACGAGTACATGCCGAACGGGAGCCTGTGGGAGGCGTTGCACGGCGACGAGGGAGGCCGAATGCTCGTCGACTGGGTGTCGAGGTACAATGTGGCGGTTGGCTTATTTGCACCACGACTGTCATCCGCCGGTGATACATAGGGACGTGAAGTCCAACAATATTTTGTTGGATGGGAATCTTGATGCGAGGATTGCCGATTTTGGGCTGGCAAAAATGATCGTGAGGAAAAATGAGACGGTTTCAATGGTGGCGGGATCTTATGGATACATTGCTCCCGGTGAGTTTTAGATGCGCTTATATTCTTGTTTATTTACTATATTTCTTGACGTTCGTCAAAATTTGGGAATTAAGATTTGATTTTGTTTTATGTGCTGTATCACTGTGATGCACCGACAACTTGAAACTTTCTAACGGGGTAAATTACACCAAACCCCCAAGAAATTCAGCATTTTGCAGTAAAGCTCCAATTACCTTCGAATTCACACTAAACCTCCAGGAACTTTCAAAAATCACACTAAACCCCTTAATAACTTTTGGAATTACAGAGAACTCCCAATTAGCTTGTGTATTTTAGAATGACATTTCAGTGAAAGAAAAGAACGAGAAAACTATTTCAAATTATATGTTTGTGATGTATTTACTGATATATTCTTCAATTTATTGTGTCAGAATATGGATACACATTGAAAGTGGACCAAAAGAGCGACATTTACAGCTTCGGCGTAGTCCTAATGGAGCTCCTAACAGGCAGAAGACCAATCTCGCCAGAATTCGGCGAGTCCACCGACATCGTAGGATGGGTAAGAGACAAGCTTCGCTCCGGTCAAGCGGCTGAAGAGTCGACGAGAGCACATTCGGCGGGCAACTCCACGCACATCCGCCGAGGAGGATGCTGCTGGTTCTGAGGATCGCCGTGCTCTGCACGGCGCAGTCGCCAAAGGATGGCCATCGATGAGGGACGTCCTCAGCATGCTCGGCGAGGCAAGCCTCGTGGAAGAGCAACAGTGCGAGTGTCGCTAAGGATAAGCCAGTGTTTACTCCGGTGAGTGATGAGGAGTTCTTGTGAAAGAGAACATCAAAATGTTTGTTACGTTGCGAGTAAAGTTGAAATGCAATTGAAGAACCATGTATATTGTTGTGAGAGATTTTGTAATTGCGAAGAACCTTGATCCATTCCATATCGGAGTCAAATATGGATTAGGGCTCGCATTGTTTAAGAAGGAATTTGAAAAAGAAACCGTAATCAAATGTGCTCTCCAAGTTAGAAACAACAATCTATTAAAATAGCCTTATAAAAGATAATTTAGTTCTTCCTTATAGTGTTGGATATCGTAATGTGGTGAAAGCCCAAAAGAATAACCCTCGTTGATACGAGGAAAAAACTTGAACAAGATATAAGTATTACGTACTATAGCAATTACACATTACACAAACTTAACACTTGTAAAGAAGAGCAATCATACTCACCAGCGTACACTCAGGGCTGTCCAAAAATTCCGCGGCCTGGCCCCGGCCCCAGCCCAGCCCGGATTTGGCCCGGACACCCGGGCAAGATCCGGCCCGGGTCCGGGCCCGCTCATCCGCGCCCGCTCCGGACCCGGGCCTAGCCCGAACAGTGCCGGCCGGGGCACAGAACACAGGTCGGACGGTCGAGCCCAGATCGCGTCCCGGACGCAACGATCACCAGGGGTGACCGTTGAGGGCAAATATGCGGGCCAGCCCGACACAACGGTCACCTGAGTGACCGTTGGGCAAAAATAACTGGCGGTCGGGTGCGGTCGGCCCGACCATTAACGGCCCGTTTTGACCATTTCCCCTCTAAAACGGTCAAAAACGGCTATTTTATGAGGGGTTTTTATTCATTTGCCTAGGAGACTACCTCTTTAAATAGAGGGAGGGTTTTTTACTTCTTCTCCTCACACCAAAACTCATCTACTTCTCTTTAATACTCTCTTATACAATCTTATACTCTCTTATACTCTCTTATAATCTCTTATTCTTTCTAATCCTTCCATCAAATGGCTTCTGGATCTGATTATGAAGAGCAAAACCTATCTCGTACCGATCTTGAAATAAGTCCTACAACAACTACTCCTCCTATCGGTGTTAATCCCGAATCTGGTACGACAGTGATAATTACTGTCACAGATATGAGCGACGGTAATATGTTCCATCGATATAAACTCTATAACGGGTATTATAACCTTCATGACCATTTAGCGAAGAAGGCTTTAACAACGAACGACGAAGGGATATTTCCCGTCGTTAGCATATAATAACGAAGGTTTTTAGCTCTTTAACGAAGATAAATCCTTTCGTTAAAGACATAATTTCTTGTAGTGTTTATACATCATACTACTATACTAATAAAGTAAAAACCTGATTATGTTTTTTTGTCACTTGGCCAATCTTCAAAGCCCTAATAATTGACAACTAACTAATGGTTTCTAGCTCCACCATTAATTTCACATCAACCAACCATCCTTCACATCTAGGAAATTTCGATTCTTTGCCATTCAATTTGCTATAAATCATTCACTTCACCATCTTTTGTCTAAAGATTCTATTTCTCTACTCTCTGGTTGCCAAAAAAATCCCAATACGCATATTTAAAAAATATTAAAAATATATGTCCCGTGCGCCTCAAGGGTAACAACTAGTAAACTAATATTTTCCGTAGTCACACTGTCCAGTGTTTTCCACCATCAAATTAATTGATAAATAAAATTGAATCTAAGTAAATCCTTATACGAAACATTTTTCACTCTGTGATGTTTTCGGCCGCAGCTTCCTCGTGGTCTTCCTATTTTCTTGCTCGTTTGGAGCAAATTTCTTCTGTTTTCGCCAACGGTCGTCGCGTCTCCGGCCTCTCCAGCCACGGTGGGTCCTACACGCACGACCCCAGCCCTTGCCATCCCGTGGATTACCGTCATATTTCCCGTCAGCGGGCGCGCGGTCTTTCGCATCGGCAGCCCGTCCCGCAGCTCGAAGTGGCTCATCCCCCTCTTCGGCGTCGCCCCACCCCGTTGCTACTACGGGCAGACGTCTCAACGCTTCATAAGCCGCTTCGAAGCTCAGGTCTTCCTCTTGATCATCGCCCTCCCCTCGCGACGCCGTGTCCTCGTTCTCCAAATCGGCGATCAATTCGGGATCGGTCGCGTCGTGGTGGTCAACCTCGTCGAAGAACAAGTCTGGGTCGGGCGTCGGGACGTCGCAGGCGAGGCCGTTGATTTTAGACCAGTAGCGCGCCTTCGCATTTTCGAAAGCCTTAAGCGCGCCTGAATCGTCCCAATCAGCTATGTTCTCATGCCTAAGCGTGTAGTCCTTGGCCTCGCATATTTTTCTCCAGGGAACTCCGCAAACGGAAGAGCAGAAGGTCCTCTCCCACGAAGGAACAGGAGAGTATCCACGTCCTGGCGGTAATTAAAAAAAAAAAGACAAACGAATATGGTAAAATAATATTTCAATCGTGTTGTGCGCTGCGGAAGCCAAACAACCAAACCAACGTGCTACGAGAAATCAAATCAAACGAACGTCGAGAGAAGACCAAACGAACCAATTCACAAGTTGTTATCTAAATTTTAATTTCTCGGAAAGAAGAAGGGGAATTAAATTGTTAGCATAAAATATGAAAGAATCTGTTTGTTCAATAAGTTGAACCATCAAGAGTCAAATGGAAACCTTACACAAGTGGCCGATGTTCATCCTTCTCCTATTAAATTAGTTTTTATAAAGGAGTGATGAGTTTAAAACATGGAATATTCGTGTCTAAGAACAGTCATATGTTGGATAGGATAAGAAAGAGTGATGAATTTAAAACATAAGTTGAATTCAATGCCTAATATCTTAAGCTCTAGGTTGTACGTGCCGGGCTACTTTATAACATTATACTATACATTTGTCTTTCAAAAAGTAGCATATATAACCGTTGCATATTATAATTACCACCTAATTGGATAGGATTCGAATACTAAATAACTAGGGTAAGTTTTCTTGAAGCTAGTTTCTTGGAAATTGACTTTTTTTTTCGATGTTACTAGACTTATTTTGAGCCATGTATATATCTTTGAGAAAAAAATTAGATTGAGAAATAAAAGGTCATATAGTAAACCTATCAACATCCAAGTTTTAACTGTTGTATTACAGTCTTCTGTTTGATTTTTTAATTATGTGAGCGTAAACGTTGAATCATTAATTGCGTCCAATATAAATTGATTGTGATCGAAAACTCAAATCTTAAAAACACCGACTTTTAGTTAAAAAAAATAAAATAAAAATCGAAGATACACAGTTTAAGATGCAATCTTTTAAAATAAATAGAAATAAAAATTAAACTAACAAGAGAAAGAAATTACATACCAATTGACCGACCGTTCCTCATCCAAGTTCTTGACATATTATGAACGCTCAAATAAAATCTCTGGTGAAAAAATTCTTTATTTTTATTTCTTCTTTGTTGAGATTATGATCAATATAATCGTCTCGTTACTAGTCTTATATAATGGAGATGGATGTCTAATTCCTCTAGGAATAGGGGATATTTTTTCTTTCTTTTTCTTTTTGTAAATAATTCGTATGCGCTTAGGAATAGGATTTAATGAGCGATAATTTTAGTAAGCTTACCTGTTGGGAATTTTATTTTATTGGTTTCTTTTTTTTTTCATTATCGTCTTTTCATAATTATATGTTATTCGGTCGGAATTGCCCTTTTAGTCCTTTGAACACGTTAACAATTGGAAATAAAATAAAGGTTAAAACAGTCATAATAACTAATTCGTAACATAATGTAGCACGATCTTAGAAGGGAACTTCCTTAGCACGTGATTTTCACGCTGTACGGTTCCTTTTTTTTTGTTTTACCCCCTCCTTTCTGTTCTTATTTTGAGGGTGAGGGAGGGGATTCCAACTTTTTATTCCCCTTCTATTTTAAGGGTCTGTTCGGTTATTTCTTAAAAATCAAGAAACGGAAATGGAAATTGTGAAAATCTCAAAAAGTAACATTTCTTCCATTTCCATCCCTAAAACTCACCCACAACATCCAATAAAATATTATTTCCATCTAACAACTCATCCACATCATCTAATAAAATATTATTTTCATCTAACCACTCATCCATCACATCTAATAAAATATTATTTTCATCCAAACATCACTCAACTCATCTCTTCTCATCATTTCAAATCACTCATATCATCCAATAAAATATTATAACAATTCACCTCATCTCATTAACATTTCATTTCTTTGTTTTCATCCCAAAAAGTTATGAAAACATTTTTCTTAAGTGTGGGTCACACCACCCAATAATACAATGGCAACTCATCTCATCTCATTTCATTTCTTATTTTTAAGAATGAACCAAACAAAAGAAAACAACAAACTACAGGAAATAGGTTTCTTATAATTCATTTCCTTATTTTTTTCGCCAACCAAACAACATCAAAACTAGTTTTCTTAAAAAATCATTCACATCATCCAATAATAATGTGACAACTAACATCATTTCATCTCCATTTTTTTGATTTCCTTCTTTTTTTAGCCAACCAAACACTCTCAAACCAATTCTTCATTTTAAATGTTTTCTGTTCCCTTGAAAGTGTTGGGAATTTAACGCCTAAATCCCCTAATGCAACGGAAACGCGGTATAGAAAAAGTACACCAAGATTTAACGAGGTTCGGCAACTGCCTACGTCCTCTGGAGCCACACAGATTTTTCTTATTAATCAAACAAGAAATTACAATTTTAGGAGCAGATCCCTAAACTGGGATTTCTCAAATAAACACTGTAGCTACAGTGTTAATAATAACAGGGTATGAACCCTTTCAATACCCACTTGAGAATAAATACCCCACAATATAAAATCCCCTCTTCTTAATTCTCTTTCTCTCTCTAAATCTCTTTACTTAATCTCCCCTCAAAACAACGTTGAAGCTGGGGATTAAAAAGGAAAATCGCTGCTGCGATTTTAGGGAAAAAACGCCGCTGCGTTTTAGGGCAGATCGCCGCCGCCGCCACCAGAGAGAGATCAGAAGAGGAGGGGGGGAGTTCAGCAGCGGCGAAACCCTAGGCAAGAGGGTTTATATAGGCGGATGGGGAGAGGGCTGGCGACAGCCTGTCGCCAGCGCCAACTTCGAGACGAACGCACAGTTGCTTCGACGCCAGCTTCGCACGAACGCAGAGGTCGCTTCGACACGAACGCAGAGCTCGAACAAAAACGCCGAGGTCGACGAACGCAGAGTTGAGGGGGTTCGAAACGCAGAGCTCGGGCTTCGAGCTTCGTTCTGTCGCCTGCGTCTGGTCGTCAACAACATCGCCTGGGCTTCGAGCTTCGTCGGAGCTCGTCGGAGCTCCTCCGCCGTCGGAGGTTTGAATCCACCCCCAAAACTAACAGAAAGTTTGTCAAAACCCAACCCCTTTTCTTTATATCCGTAACAATTATCTGGTTCTTTTTCCTATTTACTAGTATTTTGATGCATTTGATGTGCGATGAGCAGTGTTGTAGTCGAATTGTAGGGGAACAGGCAATTTGTTATAATTCTTTGGATCATTTTCACGTTTGAGGACATTTTTATTGATTTTTCCCAGCGCAGTGACATCTCGCAGGGATTTTTTTCATGTGTAAGTGCATTTCCCCTTTTCTTCCAAGCATGCAGGCATTTTCGTAATTCTAAAAATAAAGCTCAAGCGAATAAACAATGATGTTGAAATCCGCGAATAAACAATGATGTTGAAATCCTTTGAAATTTTATTTTTAAGTAGCTCATGTGCAGTAGATCACACCTATCGATCAAATTGGATTTTTAAATTTTCGGACCCTAAATTTTAAAATTGAGTTGATAGTATTCACGTATCTTATACTATTAATAGTAACCTAACTCAACTCTAAATATAAATTCGATTTTCACACTCATCAGTGAACTCATTTTTCGGTGAATTTACCTCTTTTTTTAATAATAAACTTATATTTAGACTTTTTCTGAACAGTATTATAGTTGTTTATCACAAAAATATTTAGACTTTCAAGTATCATACATATTTCAGCACTGCACTTTTAAAATTTTATTGTTATTGTAGTTTTCCTCCGTTAGTTTAAGAATATTTTTTTCATTATAAACCGAGGGCTTGTTTGGATTGAGGGGAATAAGAGAGAAAGTAAGTTAGGAGTATCAAACTAAGCTTATCTAAACTACAAGTGAGCATGTAGCCTTTGAATGCCTATGATAATTTGAGGATTTCGAACGCATTGATGTACTAGTTGAGGGTTTGTTTAAAAATGACGACTCCTCTATTTATGGTGTAAATTATCTCACTCTTAAAAGGAATGGTTCCGATAAGATTCTTAGTGTTCAATATGAATTGTTCATTTATTTTTCATAAAAGTTACTATTCAATATTTCATATCTGGACTGATATTCTTTTATTTTTATTACAAAACTAACAAGAGTATTTTGAAATTTAGAGTTCGAAAACCAACATCTCTTACAAAAGCAGATGGTGAAAATAGATGATCTACAAATCAAACATTATTAAACGTCACGTGAGTCTAATACTGACCAAAATAGAACAACCTGATCGAGAATTATTTCAAATTAATAACTTTTACTTTTTTCCATAAATCAATAGAAATTAAGGTCCCTAAACATATATAGACAAGCAAGCCCCTGTTTACAAAATCAAATAAAAATACCAACAACCCATTAAAAATTTCACACACCAAAGTTTTTTCGATCTCCAAAAAAATTATCAGAAAAATAAAAGAAAATAAACTGCATTGTTTAGGATGATCAAAGATGCTATGTTTTAAGGGAAAGATAGAAAAATAATATAAAAATTAATGGAAGAAAACAAAAAATTACTAGTAGCTGAGTAGCAGTTTGGTAAATAAAATCTTTATAAATAGACTTATTAAATCTTGGCTGGCAATCTTATTTATTTATTTATTTTCTTTGTTTAGTTCCCTTTTTCCATAATTTTGATCAAACTAATTTGTTACGGATGTGCCCAAGTTATAGGGTTATGTTTACCAAACCCCTTGAAGTTAAGGGGGTTTCCCACCTAACCCCTAGACTTTCCTTATCTCGTATAAACCCTTTAAATTTTAGGGTGTCCAATGTAACCCCCTTAAACCTCAATTCTCATAGGACCACTTACTAGTAATTTGTAAATAACTAAAATATCTTTGAGAAAAACATTTAAACCTTTTTCATTCGTCATTTAAAGGTAATTAATGAGCTCCCTTCCCTAAATTTCAGATTTTTCCTTCAAAAAAAAATATTTATTTTCAAAGTACATATGAGAATCCCGTGAGATATTTCAAAGATCGAGGGAGTGGGTGGACGGGTAGGTTGGTTGTGAGACACCCTAAAGTTTGGTTTAGGGGTTGATGTGAGATAAGCAAAAGTTAGGAGGTTATCTGAAAAAAACCAGAAAGTTCAGGAGTACATTGTGAAATTAACCTAAACTATTAAAGGGACCAGAAAAGCAATTTTTGTTCATATCCAAACATTCTTACAGTCTTACCGCAATCAAAATCAAATCATGAAATATGTAACTGGGTGGGAAGAAAAAGCGACAACATTAAAAAAATTTGATCCAAGCACTGGAATGGACTTAGGGGTTGTTTGGTTGTTATTAGTAAAGTTGTGTATAAATACACAACTTTACCAACAACAACCAAACAGCCCCATATACTTTTCTTTGTTTGTTTTTTATTCCATTGAAATCATAAATTGCTTGTTTGGTTTGTAAGGGGCTGTTTGGTTCGTTTCCTTGATATAGAGAAATGCAATTCCATGTAAAGAAACACAAGTTTTGAGTTTTCCAAACTTTTCCAAGAAATAGATTGTTTTGTTTTGGTTCGCACATAAAAAATGGTGGGAAACCAATGTATTTATTTTTCTTGTGTTTGGTTCACATAGAAAAAAAAAAGAAAAACTTTTGTAAACAAAGCAGAGAAGGAAAAAAATCTGACGTGGCAGAGTTTTCATCAATTTCACTTGGTTGGGGAAGGAAATCGGAGAGGGAAAAAAATATTAGTTGGCGGCGATTTCAGCAGAGTTTTTCCTCTTCCATTCGAGCGAACCAAAGCGGCACAAAGAAATGGACGGAAACAAAAAAGCTGACGTTGAGGGGTTTTCTGAGTTTTCCACCCCTTATAATAGCGAACCAAACAGCCCCTAAATGTAACTTTAATTGTTTGTTTGGAAAGTGTAAAAAGTGGTCCCTACACAAATGATTATATTGGTTTGAATTATTTTTTATTATTTTTTTCTGATTTCAATGCCAACTTTCTCCTAAAATCATGTCTTTTTTTATGAAATCACTTTACAAGCCACATCAGTATATGAAATCACTTTACACTATTTTCATAACTACAAACAAACAATTGAAAATGATGAAAGCTGACATTGGGACCCACATTTTTACACTTTCCATCTTTTTACATGGTAAAAACATGCAACCAAACAGCCCCTTAGTGAGAGCGTGTGGGCTCTGGCCCAAAAGAGAACAAAAAATCTGGTCGGAAATTTGGATTCCCGAACAAAAAATCTGGTCGGAAATTTGGATTCCCAATGTGCCAAATTTGGTCTTTTAGTTTATTACACTATTAGTAAATAATTTACTAAATTGTGTAGTTATTAAATTACAATATAATCTATTAATTTAAATACTATTAGAATTATTATACTACTAATATTATTATAATTATAATAAACATAAATTATTTTTTATACTATTATCATACTTTTAAAAAGCTAATAAGATGAAAGGTAATAAGTAGTCCTCCATAAGAGGCGAAACCCAAAGAAATCAAGCATAAGCCTAATGAATTTTTATTATTTTTTATTTTTCTAAAATTTTTAAATATTATGTGAAGATAAATTAGGAATAAATTTTAAATTTTCTATTAAATAGCATATAATTAAATAATAAAATAATAGTGCGACAAAATATTTAGAAAAAGTGAGGAAATGCATAATTAGTAAGAGGTTATATATAATTAGTGAATGATTAATTCCAACTAATGGTATATTTAAGAATTATAAAACATAAAAGGGCGAAAATAAAAATCGAAAAGTTTTGACAATACAATCCTCTTTTATATGTAGTATAGATTATTAACACACTATCTTCATGCATAGGGTATTTCTCTTTCTTGCAAAAGGAATGAGCTATCATCTTTGAGATATGGGTGCAATTCCTCGGAATACAAAGAATTTGAGATATGGGTGGAAAGTAAATAAACATTAAAATATGATCAAAAAAAATTTATCTGATTCAATACAAAATTAGATTTTATCTACAGCTTATAAGTTTTCTATCACTATTATCTCTATATAAGCATATTCTTACTGAGGATGGATCTCATTAATCAACTAGATTGAAAATAGACAGAGAGATATCACAGGTGCAGTAGATGACCTCAAACTGCTGTATTTGCAATCTAAAGCTGCACGTACTACTGAATCTTGCCACTCAGTATTATTCTTGTCGTTCTGCTGAGTTCTTGTAAATAACGAATATTATAACATATATTTACACGCAAAACGTTTTCTCCCCTTAGGGATATATTCAAATATCAAAATTTACTTTATGCGTGATTCAACAAAAACCTTAAAATGTAATAAGATTGCTGACAACCTAGCTGGAGATGCAGTAGTGCATTTCGTACAATATTTCAGAAAGGATTAATTACCCCCTCTAAACTTTGGGGGTAGTTGCAGTAAACCCGATCAATTTTTTATTACACTGAACTCTGCTAAACTTTAGGAGCTGTTGCACATAATTTCTTCGTATTTTTTTATCTCTCTAAATCTTACTTAAAATTTCTCATTTTACCCTCATATTAGCACCATCAACTCTAATGTGTCACGGCGTAAACACATGCCAAAATAATAAGACGAAGATTCATTCTTAGTCCCAAGATATAGCCTTTTATTTAATAGTAAAAATATGCAACTTTTTGGGACTAACGAATTGTTTTCATCTTCAACTTGTCACACGCTTGCACATGAGATGTTTAAATCGATGGTGTTAATTTAGAGTTTAAAGGACAAGTTTTTATGTGAAATTTAGAGGAATGAAATAGTTTAGAGGATTATATGCAATAACTCCTAAAGTTTAGGGGGATTAAGCAAAAGATAAATGATATATAATTAGATGTGGATCCTTTCTAATTAGGCCATAATTGAAGATGATCCGATTCTCTCAATCCTGATCGTCCATTCCAATTTAGAAGGTAAGCCGCATATGATTTCTATTATTGCAAGAGTGACTTTCGAAATAGCAGTTTTGTCAATATTATCATGAAAACCTCTATTTTGAAAACCACCTTTGCAATAGTAAAAATCATGAGTGGCATAATTTTTTCCCCCTTAAATAATTAGAATGGACCACCTAATTGGAGAGGATCTGTATTCTAAATGATTATACAAGCCTGTGGTTAGAAAACATAAAATATCTGAACAATTTACTTTATAATAGATCAAATATTTGACTATGTTGTTGATACAACCTTCCAACAAATATGAAAACAAAACACATACAATAGTTAATATTTTATAAAACGTAACGAAAATTGTTATAGTTGAAGATTCCCGCACCACCACATAAACTTTCAAGTGATCTCATACAAAAAAAAAAAAACTAACATCTTCACTTTATGTAAGCTTTTGGCTTCCATTGTTCCATGGACTTTCTTCTTCCACCTCTGCTCCGTGAGACAAATTTTCTTTGCTTTTGCCAAGAATTATCATAACTCGGACCACTCCATGCGATGTCACCGCCATCATTCTCGAAACTTTCAAGCTTCTTGTTGTCAGCCCATCCAGTATCTGGCAGCGGCTTTTCAACCAATGCATCCCAATTCGAATGATGTTTAGTTGTATCTTCCTCTTCGTCATCACCCCATCCAGTTGCTTTAACGGGTAAATTTGATAAATTTGCATTCAGAAAAGCTTCGTAACTGAGATCCTCGTACTTGTTGCCTTCGGGGGGAGGAGGCTGCGGCTGTTTGTATAAATCCGCCACTAGCTCTGGATCGATGATAGAATTATACTCGATTTTTTCAATGTACATGTTTGGGTCAGGCAAAGGAATGTCATTAGAAAGACCACTGATTTCAGCCCAATATCGAGCCTTCGCATTCGTAAAGGCTTCAAGTGCTCCAGAGTCATTCCATTCTGCTATATTATTGTATCCGGAGATCATCACCTTAGCTGCACAGATTCTCTCCCAAGAAACATGGCAAATTGAAGTGCAAAATGTCTTCTCCCATGAAGGACCTAGAGCTCGCTCGCGTCCTAATAAGAGAAAAATAATAGATACATCAGTATTAAATTATTAATTAGTAAGCCTACTATAAACTGAAGGATTCGAGAATTAACTGAGAAATATCTGCCCAAATATAGGAATATCAGAATATCTATAGCCAGCATAGTTTTGCTTCATCAAAGTACATGTGTTTCATAGCAATCCAATGTCATAGATAGTTTAATTATGTAAGTCCAAGTAAGGAATGGATGAACCTTGTTCTTTCCTAGTTATTAAAAGAGGTTCGGCGTAGTAGAGACGTAGAGCTGATATAAATTGGTTTAATTTTCAAAATTTTAGTTAATTGGTTTATTGTAGAGTTTCCCTTGCAATTGTTTTACTGAGAGTTCCCTGTATTTTTGCTTAAAACGAAGTGCCATCGAAGAAGTCTAGTATCATTTCCATTGATGACTTGATTATTTCAAAAGCAGAAAGCCGACCCTAAACACAAAATGTATCCTATCTAAAGCACTCCCTGAATTGAGATTGATAGACAGAATATACCGGGTACGCATTTATAACAAATTATACCGGATATGCATCATATTATGACTAGGGATAGAGAGAATCAAAGAAAACCAAAATATTAAACAAATAGTTGGAAACCACAAACATAGAAACCGTAGCCAAAGCCATTATTCAAACAGAAAATTGGCTAAAACTCCATGACATTTCTTAAAGTATACAAAACATTACCATACTGACTCCAACAGAACAAGCTTTCTATAATTCCTAGTGAGTAATGCCTACCAAAGAAAAAGAAAACATTACCCAAACATGAATAAGGGACAGTTTTTCACTGAAGATGGTTTAATGTAGTATGATCCAACGGCAGGTGCTTCAAATACATCGAAATATACTCTCTTCTCTTCATACAATTATATGACTAAAAAAATCCAAAGGGGTTTCTGTTACACGTTACGACTATAATTCTCACAGCAGCTTCAGCGGTTTAAATCAAATTCTAAAGGAAAAAAAATATATCACTGTATAAAATACCTCAGGTTTCACTCCATGTTGAAACATATATTATGACGATCAACCCTCATTACAATTTCGTAGTTTCAGTGCAGTAGAAAATCTAACCAAGGTAACTATACTCTCTGTATGCAAAGGATGCAGTCCTACGCAAGAGAGTAACATCCTTCTCCATAGGCTTAGTGTATCAAAAATATAGTGTTATAATTAATGATCAGAATTGAACTTTTAAACATTGAATTTAAGTCAGATAATCGATGAGCTTTTATTCTCTAATGCCAATCTTTAGGGTACTATAAGTTGTCTATGATTTTGTCAAAAAAAAAAAAAACTTGCAATTGAACAGTTTATGATGATCCATTTTCTTTTTTTTTTTCCCTTTTTTTTATAGGAATTCATATCCTTTTATGTCATTATTATCACTGACCTAACATGAGTGTTTCTAAATTCGAAACCTAAAGGAATCACATCTACAACATCCGAAGGTGAGAACACAGGTGACCAACAACTCATGAAATTATCAAGAAATGAAAAATTATCAAGAAAATGAAAAAATTATCAAGAAAATGAAAATTTTGAAGATGCAGGGTTTGATCAAAGATGTGATTGATTCCTTTTAGGTATCAAACCCCAAAAGCTTCTCTCGATCGCCACCATCAAATTATCAAAGAAGTAAAAAAAAAAATTTGAAGATGCAGGGTTTGATCAAAGATGCAATCTTTAAGGGCGCACAGAAGGGGGGGAAACTGAAATTAACAAATAAATATAAATCTCACTTGCAAATGAGCGGCCGCTCCCCTTCCAGCCTTCAGCCATCAGTTAAAAACGCCCAAAGGAAAGCCTCTGATTATTATTAAGATTTATAGTTTTTTTTATAGTTTTTTTTTCCTGCTGCAATTCTCCTTTCCAGGCGATCTGCAAATTACGATTATACCCCTTTACGCAAAGGGGAAAGTGAAATAAAGCGAGGATTAAGACAGTCATTATAGCTTGAACTGGTCAGATGGTGTTTAGGCTGGTGAATCCTACAACATGCTTGGACACTGAGCAGCAACATTGCACGTGACTTCATGACTTGGTTACTTAGGCCCTGTTTGGTACGCGGGAATAGGGTGGAATGGAATGTCATTCTCACTTCTCATTCCTTCATACCAAATAAAACTTGTTTTTAGATGTTAGAATGATCATTCCCATGGAATGGTCATTCCCACTTTTTATGGGAATGAGCATTCCAAGTGAAAAGATAGGAAATGATCATTCCCATTCAAGGGGAGAATCAAATTAGTTAGGTTTTTTTAATTATACCACTATTAATAATAAGAATCAATTTAAAAATCATGGCTTTTGACTGCGTATTCTCATTTTCTCTCAGCTACTAATTATATTCGAACAATAGGAATTTTTTGCGGGGCAGGGAATAAAACTAGTGGTACATATTTCAGTAGCATATTAAAACTAGTGGTACATATTTCATTAGCCTATTATATCACAATTGCTCAACATAGAAGCAACACAATTTAATATAAAAACAGATACAACTGAAACTATATATTATTTGCCGATTGAAATTCTTTCATGTCAATATTTTTTTTTTGGTCAATCAATTTTTTTTGTTTATTCACCAATGTTTAAAGTCTGTTATTTTCACCAGCATATTATATTCTTTTTAAACTTTGCTATTGTTTTCCCACCATAGAGAACTATATGTACCAATTGCGTACATGTTTGATTGTAGTTCATGCGCAACAATAAATCTAACTTTTGATTGAAAAATATTTGACCCAATATTTATGAAAAGAGAAAACTCTCGCTGAGAAATTGGCCAAAATATTAAAATTATCAAAATCATATCATGTCTAGACTATATATAGAGGTATAATGGCATTATTATAACACATACATAGATTAATATAACATATGTAGAAATAGTGAGAATTGTTTAAAAAATATAAACGAAACATACACCTGATCGATAACATGCGCATTAGTATAACCCATACCTAGATTAATATAACATATGCATAAATAATTTTTTTAGTTATTATCATTAATGTTTATTTTTATCTTATTAAAAATCTATGTTGTTATAAGGGCATTATTAGAAAATGAGATTCCATTCTCACTTGTGAACTAGTGATACCAAACATGGGAATGAGAATTAGATTTTCATTCTAGCTTCATTCTACAAACGCACCCAAAGAAGAGAATGGGAATGACCATTCCATTCTCACATACATTCCATTCCATTCCTTCTTCTATTCCATTCTCACTTGACTTCATTCCCACGTACCAAACGAGGCATTAGGGCCTGTTTGGTTCAATAGAGGGTAGGAATAGGATTAGGAATCCTATTTTATTTATGGATTTTAACCTAATCTATAAAAAAATTATAGACAAGTTTTAGTTTTATGGAATCCCATTTTTTTGTATTCTATGTTTGTTTCACCCAAAGGATTAGGAATAGGATTATGATCAAAATAAAAAAGATGAGAGGTGTCAGAAATTCCACCCAATTCCTAGCAAATGGACTGGATTTGGATTTCCTGAAATATACACTGTTTGAGCCACTTTATAGATTAGCAATTCTATAAATTTTTTTGGAACCAAACTCAAGATTAGGATTCATTTGGAATCCATTAATTACAAAAACGCTATTGTTAGGTCCAAATATCATTCTTATTCCATAAAATTGGTGAAACAAATAGGCCCTTAGTGGAGTTTTTACTATTTTTTAGATAATATAGAGAATCCGAATCCGAAATATAAAGTACCCTCTAGCGCCTTATTATCATTTTTCTATTTATAATTTTTTTCCTCTGATTATATAAGTGAAAAAAAAAAATTGAACTTACAGTTATAGCTAAGACGTCATTCGCTTTTCTTGAGCAGTGGGAAAAAAGGGGCATTTTTCAGGGAAAATAAAACGAACAAAATGTAATCTGACACTTCTCATTTCATGAACAAAATGTAATTTGAAAATAAAAATGAAGCAAAATTTCAATTTTTGACCAACATTCTGTTTGATTTCGATCGTTAGACTTCTACTTCGTCGATGACAAATTAATAGGAACTTATAAAGAGCCTCGGATCCTAAATTAAGATATACTCGGCCCCAATGCCCGGATGCTATGTAAAGGAAATGGACTTTTAATCTGGGTGTCAAATGGACCAACTACCAATCATATGGGCCTTTGGCCCAAAATGCAATTGACTATATCTAAGCAACAGTTAAAGGTTTGAAACGTGGGCCAATTTTTCGCTCATAACAATTTTCAGACTATGTTCACCTTTTTATCACTTTATATTGTTTGTTTAAATTCTTTTTTACATGAAAAACTTACACCTTTTGATAAGGTGTCACCGAAAGCAAAATCACTAAAATTAGGAGTGATTTTGTTAGAAAGCTTACACAATGTCATAAATGTGTCCAAAATAATAATAATAAAGTCAAAACCTTGTAGAAAGTGGTGAGGTGGATAACCACTTTCCATTTTGTGTCATAAATACTCTAGTTTACATTATACTATCCAAACAATGTAATACTATTATTTTAGGATTCACAAAGATTCCTAACCAAACAATGTAAACAATGTAGAAAGTGGTGAGGTGGATAACCACTTTCTATTTTGTGTCATAAATACTCTAGTTTTCTAAAGGCATCCAAACAGCCCCTTGGTGTTGCTCCCGCGTGCAGAAGGCGTGAGCTATCATTTTGATATACAGTCTCGTGGCACTTCTACTTTATTCTCCACCACTCAGGACCCTTGGAAAAAAGGTAATGAAAAGATAATACTCTTGATGAAATATTTTTATTCCAACGTGACAGACAATTCTTCACTTAGATAATTCTTCACTTTGAAAAATATGTTAAGATTATAACCCTCGATCCTTACTGAACAGCTTTGACATTTTCATGTAGTATATAAGGAAGTTTATTTAAATCAAATGTAAAAGAAAAAAGACTGCATAAACTAACCTAAGTTTTAGACCATGAAAGGACATTACAAATATAGAGGTACATCAAAATATAAATTTACAATCCTCAAGCCGCATCAGCAATTAATCTTTGAAGCGACGTGTTCAATATAAATTGTTCATGATTTTGTTGAAAAATGTCTGTGATTGAATACCTTCGTTATTGAACTAACTAAAACATCTTGGAATTCGTGCATAATCCGACATTCATCGTTCCACCTGATTTTTTTTATACAAATCAAAAGGAGGTTTATATCTATAAACATAGCCAAAGAAAACATTTTTAGTAAATCAAACAAAATACTACCAACAACCCAGAAAAGATTTCATACACTAAAATCTTATTTCGATCATCATTAAATTATCAATAAAAAATTTATAATAAAGGAAAGGAATTGAAGATACAGGGCTCCATGATTCCATCAAAGAAGCAATCTTTAGAGCACAAATAGGAAACAAAAAAAAATTAAAATTAAAATTAGAGTGTTGCTACGGGGACCCAAAATATGGGACCAATGGATGAGACAGGTGAGGTGTCCCCTCCCTATTGCATAATGAGTTGGCCATGCCAACTCATTATGCAATAGGGAGGGGACACCTCACCTGTCGTTTCCCTTGGTTTCATATTTTGGGTCCTTAAGTCATTTTCCTTAAATTAACAAAGAATCTTATTACGACAAAACGAGCGTCCGTTCCCCTTCCAAACTTCAGCCATAAGTAAAACGGCCAAATGACGTCTCTGATGAATAAGATTTATATTTCTGCTACAATCTTTTTTTTCCAGAGCTTTTGACTAAATTACCAGTTTACCCCTTTTGAAAAAGAGGTGAAGGAAAATAAAGAAAATATTAAACAGCCGCTATAAATCGAACTTTGTCAGAGGATATTAGATTTCTGAAGTCGTACAACATTGTTTGACTTGGCGTTCCGTAGCACGTGATTTCATAACTTGATTACGTGAGCCTTGTTCCTGCCAAAAAAAAAATTCTTTTAAAGTACCTTGGCTTCCGGAGCTTAATTTTATGACGTTTTGTATTTTTTATTCTCAAAATTTAGGCTATGTTTGATAACCAATTAAACACGGCGAAAATTAGTCCTAGCCAGTTTCATTTTAAACTAGGCTAGAAATAGAATAAAACCAGGTAGGAATTGGTTTAACAAAGAATTAGTTTAAAGAGCTTTTTTGGCCGTTGGACGTTCAACAAAGAATTAGTTTTTGCCAAATAAAAAAAGAGTTCAGAATTGGATCAAGACTAATCCTAACTCAGCTTTAAGATATTGCCAAATATTCTCTCTCTCTCTCTATCTATATATATATATATATATATAGGGTCGAACTTTTCTTTGGTGTCAAGGCAATATGTTCTTTTCATTACGGTATTTCTAAACAAGTTCCCAGCTAGATTTAGTCAATTAAATCCGTTGAATCATTGTTCATATTGAAATGAATTGAGATTGATGAAGGGAACCTCAAAGTGGCTCTATTTCATTACATTACATCTATATGTCATTCACTTTTTCACTTTTATTAGAGAAATTGAACAATGAGAAAAGAGCCTTTTGAAGTAAAGAATGGAAAGAGAGAAAAAAAAAACATTTTTCTTTTTTCACATTCACTTTTATTTTCTGATAATTTCCCAATTATCAAGCAGAAAACTATAGAAAAATAAAGCAAAATTTCAATTTGCTACACACACTCCATTTAGTTTCAATTGTCATACTTGAAGTTGTATAGAACTGAAAATGATAATAAACAAGGCCCATATAAAAGCGTACGTCCTAAGTAAAACTATTTTGTCTCAATATTCAGAGAGGAGTTTTTTTTTAACAGACGAGAGAAATACTATTTTCTCAACTTATATGAAATTCTATTTTATCAACTTATATTATTCCAATGAACGTCCTAATAAACCCCTAATCAAC